CTCAGGTACGCATATGATCCCACTGAATATGTTTACTGAGATGAACCCATGTATACGTTTTCTTCTCATAGTATACTTTCGATATTTGCTTGTGCAGGGCAAGGAGTATGTCTTTGTTGCAAACTCTGACAACTTAGGTGCTGTTGTGGACTTACGTATCCATATTTAATTTTTTGGAGATCTAGTTGCTTTTAAGTCTTGAGTTTACGTCTTACTATAATTGTTGCTTACTCGCATAAAATCAATTCCTTGGATTTCTATTCTCCTTGACTCTGGATATTATAGAAATTTTAAATCATTTGATTCGGAACAAGAACGAGTATTGCATGGAGGTATGAAATAAGTTATTGGTTTGTTGTTGATTTATTATTCCTACAGTTCTTTTGGCACTTGTAGCATTTATCGTTATTGATTATGTAGGTGACGCCCAAAACCTTGGCTGATGTGAAGGGTGGTACCCTCATTTCTTATGAAGGGAAGGTTCAGGTATATAAAATAGAATTTGTTGATTGGGGCGTTTCCGTATTCTCCTTGTTTCTGTTTCACCATGTAACGTTATTTTCATCGCATTATGCAGCTACTTGAAATTGCTCAGGTCCCTGATCAACATGTAAGTATATCAGTGAATGATTATGTCTGATGGTACATCCTTTTCTTGTTCATGTATGATAATATTGTTCTAATAAATATGGGTCAATGCAAATAAATCCCAAAAACAACCATTGATATCATTTTTTGGTCAGTTATATATTGGTATTTCTTGATCAGTTTGTAAATTGACAAATGATTCTTTGTTTGGTTCAGGTCAATGAATTCAAGTCCATTCAGAAGTTCAAAATTTTCAACACTAATAATTTGTAAGTCATGTTTGTCTTGATGCACATTTAACAATTACTGATAATGGCCTGCTAATAAGATATTGGGAATGAATGATTGAAGGTGGGTGAACTTGAAAGCAATTAAAAGGCTTGTGGAAGCTGATGCGCTCAAGATGGAGATTATTCCAAATCCTAAGGTAGTTTCTGTTCCTAGTAATGGCAGGCCAATGCATGTGGTTAATATTTAAATACACAGTACGAGCACACTCCAGTCCGCCCTGCCGGAGACATTTTGATTTGGTATATTTGTAGTGTTTTAAAAAATTAGTGAGATTTACTTGTGAGATCCCACATCGGTTTGGAGAGGGGAATGAAGCATTCCTTATAAGGGTGTGGAAACCTCTCCCTATTAGACGCATTTTAAAAACCTTGTGGTGAAAGCTCGAAAGAGAGCTCAAAGAAGACAATATCTACTACGGTGGGCTTGAACTGTTACAAATGATATCAAAGCTAGCACCCGGTGGTGTGCCAATCAGGACGCTGGGCCCCTAAGGGGGTGGATTGTGAGATCCCACATCAATTGGAGAGGGGGATGAATAACCTCTCCATAGTAGACATGTTTTAAAAAGGAAAGCTCGAAAGGGAAAGAAGCCCAAGGAGGACAATATCTACTCACGGTGGGCTTGGACTGTTACACCAGCTATATTAAAAGACATATTAAAAGGCATAGAAATTTGTCCATACAAATAAACCCCATAAGAAAATGGGTACTGTTGTTTTTGAATTGCCAGTAGTAATATATTGTTAACATGCCAGGAAGTTGATGGGGTTAAAGTTCTTCAGCTCGAAACAGCAGCTGGTGCAGCAATCAGGGTACACTTTGTTCTTGATTTTCTGTGCTATGTTCGTATATAAATGGGTACTCATGTTCTTATATAAATGATCTTTTTTCTGCCAAATAGTTCTTTGATCATGCCATCGGTATTAACGTACCACGATCACGTTTCCTTCCTGTCAAGGCAACTTCGGATCTGCTTCTTGTCCAAGTTAGTTCTTTCATCCATCGTTACAGGCTCTACTATTGTAGTGGTTTGATGTTTCTTAACAAACTCATATGTTGGTATGTTTTTTTCTGCAGTCTGATCTCTATACTCTAGTTGATGGCTTTGTCCTTCGCAACAAGGCTAGAAAAGATCCTTCCAACCCTTCTATTGAATTGGGGCCCGAATTCAAGAAGGCAGGATTTTTTTTTTTTTTGTCTTGGCTTGATCTCTTAAATGCTTGGTAGTTTTTTGAAAATGTTGGTTACAGTACTTTTTTCTTTTTTACTTTCACAGGTTGGTAACTTCCTGAGCCGATTCAAGTCAATCCCCAGCATCATTGATCTTGATAGCCTGAAAGTGGTTGGTGATGTTTCGTTCGGGGCTGGTGTCGTTCTCAAGGTATGAAACTGCTTCTGGTTTGCTTCTAGATTTTATTATCCAATTAGTAGTTACATTATAACAAAATGACTTTGTTAATGTCAAGTGTGTTGCTGTAACGACCCTAGCCCACTGCTAGCCCATATTGTTCTTTTTGGGCTTTTCCTTTTGGGTTTCCCCTTAAGGTTTTAAAACGCGTCTACCAGGGAGTATAAGAGAATGTTTTGTTCCTCTTTTCAACCGATGTGGCATCTCATAATCCACCCCCTCCAGGTCAGTGTCCTCGTTTGGACACTGCCCGATGTCCACCCCCTTCGAGGCTTAGGGTCCTCGCTGGCACACCATCCGATGTCTGGCTCTGATACCATTTATAACAGCTTAAGTTCACCGCTAACATATATTGTCTTTGGGGTTTCCCTTTCGGACTTCACCTCATGGTTTTAAAACGTGTCTGCCAAGGAGAGGTTTTCATACTCTTATAAAGAATGCTTTGTTCCCCTCCAACTGATGTGACATCTCACAATCCACCCCCCTTCGAGGGCGAGCGTCCTCGCTGGGACACGGTGTCTGGCTCTAATACCATTTGTAACAGTCCTAGTTCGCCGTTAGTAGATATTGTCTTCTTTGAGTTCTCCCATCCGGGCATCTCCTCATGGTTTTAAGACACGTCTATTAGAGAAAGGTTTCAACACCCTTATAAAGAATGTTTCGTTCTCCTCTCAATCGAATTTGACAACCCACATGAACCAAATGGGTGAAAACGAACAAATTTTATTCAAATCAAACCAAGCTAATACTTTCAATTTTATACTTCAAAAATCAAACTAACCGACCAATATACTTCAAATCAACTAAACTGACTCAGTTCAAATGGATTTTCAAATTTTTTCTTCTCTGGGTTTTTAGAATTTCAATTTTCAGGTTGCGCCATAACATAGAACTTCTTACTTTCATATATCATGTTAAACCACGTCTTCTAACTATGAGTTGTTCCTATTTTACAGGGGAAAGTGAGTATCTCGGCTAAGCCTGGGGCAAAACTGGCAGTACCAGATAATGCCGTAATCGAAAACAAGGTAAAAGAAAGAAGAGTTGAAATCTCTTATACAAATATCATATTTCTGTGCTGTGGATGAACTGATCTGAATGCTGTTCTGGTAAATTTGATATCCAGGAAATCAATGGCCCTCAAGATCTCTAAGCCTTTGCTTGCCTTCACAACTTTTTCAGAGCAGAAGCTTTCTGGCATTTTGAGTACTTTTTTGTTGATTCCAACAAAAGCATGCAGTTTTATCTGTGTAAATGTGTCCGGGTTGGAATTGTTCTTTTGGGATATTATGAACACTGATGGACTTGTTGGCATTATAAACAAAATGAGTTTCTATTAATATATATACATAATAAACGAAGGTTTTATGGCGAAGGGAACAAAACTGGAAAGTTCTTAAATGTTTTGAATGTTCGTTGTTTTTTTTTGTTCAAAAAGGTGTTTAGGTTGACTTGTGAATCTCGTACGCCAAAAGGTGGGTTTGACTCAACTTGGCACGAGCTTTTAATTGTGTTCGGTTAAATAATTTTTTACGTCGGGGTTGATTTGATATATAATCGAACTTTATTGAATGAATGATCATTGATAGTTTAATGCAACTTGTAGCTCAAAATTTAATCGTTTGGTTCGATTCATGAGTTTCAAGTTTTTAATATATTATGCTTTAGGCATGGTTCATTAGGTTATAGATGGTGGTCGTGGGATATAGGTCGTTGATAAGTCTCTCGATATGGCTTGTTGATGGTGATGAGTGGTTGGCAACATGTGAGAGCATCGGGTCTTGGATGAGTGAGGAGAGATTGACAAGCTTTATCGAAAGAGTTAATCCATGTCTTAATTCCATAGCTTGGTTTGAGGTTCTCTTTTGGATGAGCATATTCTATAGGATATTTTCTTACCATATATGTCAATTTCAATATTTTCTCGAATGTTTCTTTCTCTTGTTCCCACACTTTTGTATTTCAAGTAAATGAAAATCACATGAATGATCGATTCAATAGTTATCTCTCTTTATTCTTGGCACTAATGATGAAAATAGATCTTCACACTGATGAAAGACCCTAGATTTGCAGGGAAAAGACAAAAGTCTTTTAGTGTCGTGTTTGTACTCGATTGGACGCTTATTTAAACAAATAAGTCTGTAAAGACTCAATTTTTCATAATAGATACCACTTGTCATAATTACACTTATCTTGGCAGTGGACTTTGTGATTGTGCAACATTCCCTTCTCAACCACAAGTGAGTCAAACCAATTTGTATTTGCTTGCCTACTGCCGGACAAACGTATGCTCAAGCCTTTAACCCCGATTTGAGAAAAGGTTTTAGAAAACGGGGCAGAAAGATTTTGAAAGCAAGATTGAGAGAGATTGAAAGCAATATTATATGACATACAAGCAAAAGACAACACAACGACTCGAGTAGCATATAACTTTTTCGGATAAGGGCAACACTCAAAAGTCTTATCACATATAGAACAAATTAAATTGGTTACTAATTAATTTAATTGAAAGTAGTTGGTTCAATTATAACTCTTTTAAGCCTTTAATCTTGAATTAATTTATGAAGTTAAAAAATATTAAATATATTATTTAAAAAAAAATAAAACTCTAAATTTAGGTAAGGTTGAAAGGAAAACAGGTCAAAACAAAAAACAGAAACTTGAAAATGAAATAAATACCTAATTTAATGCTCAAAATAACTCTCTTTTTAACTCCCCCTTGTGTTAAAGCTTTCATATATAGAAACCACCCTCCCGCCACCGCCATTTCTAAGCTACCACAGGCTGCCGGCGAGACCACAGATCACCAACGGACGTTTTCGACGAACCCCACTTTGGATCACAGCCGACGGTACGTAATTTTTTGTTCTTCCAAATTGACAGCTTCCTTATTTTTCAAGCTAAAAACCTTCCCACCAACCGATTTCAATTCCTCTTGTTATTTTATGGATCCCCATCGCAAAGAAATCGAAGATTCTTAATGAACTCAACAAACCCAGAAAAGCCAACATCCCAAAACTCCGTTTTCTCATCCAAATCCACCTCTGAAATCGGATCATTTGGTTCTGTCGAGTGCATTTTTGTAGTGGGGAAGGTGGAAATTGGGGTTTTATTATGTTAGGCGGTGTTCAATTGGGTCTTTTAGCTGCGTGTATTGTGTTGTTTGTGCCGATGGGAATGGCGGGTTGGCATTTGAGCCGCAATAAGATGCTGTTCTTCAGCGGTGCCCTTTTCATCTCTCTCGCTATCGGTGTTCATCTCACGCCTTATATTCCTTCCGTTTCTGATTTCGTTACTACTGTTTCTTCTGTCGTCGTTTTCGATACTCGAGCTTCGTGTAATTCTCAGTTACATGAAGTAGTTTGGGAAGTCAAGCAGAGCGATGAATTTAACCCTTTGAGTAATAACTCTGTTAATTATGAGAAGTCGTGGAAATGGGGGAGATCTGCCCCTGTTATTGTTTGTGATTTTCAGAAATTTGATCCCATGGATGCCGCCGATTTGCTTAATGGATCGTGGGTTGTTGTGGCCGGTGACTCGCAGGCAAGATTGATTGCTCTGTCACTGCTGGATTTGATTTTGGATTCTCAACGAATGGGTGCCATTAGAGGCGATCTGTTCAAGCGGCATAGCAATTATCAGATTGTGATTGATGAATCTGGGATGAAATTGGATTTCATTTGGGCTCCTTATGCTTCTAATTTGACTGATTTAATGGCGGAATTCAAGCTAAATCTTAGCTACCCTGATGTTATAATCATGGGATCGGGGCTATGGCATATGCTTCATTTTACTAATGCATCAGATTTTCAATTGTCTTTGGATTCACTTAGACGTTCTGTTGTTTCACTGATTCCATCGACTCCGAATTTGGATTCTGAAGCGCCTTTGACGGGCTCTATCTCAACTAGAACCCCACATTTGTTCTGGATTGGAATGCCAACGCTGATTAACTCCATGTTGAACACCGAGGAGAAGAGGAAGAAGATGACTGATCTAATGAAGGTGGCTTATGATGAATCGCTCCGCAAGAGTAAGCTTCTGCGTTCATCTGGTGGCCCTCTCTTGTTGCTGGACATCGAAACTTTGAGTTGGAATTGCGGGGTTCGATGTACAGTGGATGGAATGCATTATGACGGTGTTGTATATGAAGCTGCCATTCATATTATGCTTAATGCTTTGCTTATTGAATCTCATCAGAAGCTATGAAGAAGGAGGTCGATGTTCCATTGATGCTCGTAGAAGAGTTCGTTTTTGAGGATTCTCTAACACTACAACATTCCTAAGATGAGAGGTGACTTCTACCCTTTTTCTATTTCTCGGTTTTCTTAGTCGATTTGATGAGATTAGGAGTTCCATTATTCTTTGTTTTTCGTCACCGGTTAATGTAATAACACGTAGGAACTCATTACATAAATCACAAGCCACGACATTTATATTGTATAGCTTTGGAGTTGGATCATCATTCATAAGTCCTCTAGGAATCTTTGACTGATCACATGAAAAGATAGCATGCCAAAGCATCGATGCTTTCGATTCGCTCCATCCTTTTGTTATTTGGTTTCTATTTCTTACATAATTGTATATATCTGGACAAGCTGTGACATTTTATTCTTCAATCAGATAAGTAACGTTTTTTATAAAGATTTATGCTATTGGATATGAAGTTTGTAATCTATCACTGTAAGCTTTCTTCTGAAGTCCAGCTGAATGGATTTCAGCGTTCATTTGCTCTGTACATTTGTATAGTTGTTATTCATAAAATCACACCAGAGCCTCATCCCGACATTTTACAAACTATCTCTATTCCTCTGAGATCCCACATTGGTTGGAGAGGGAAACGATGCATTCCTATTAAGGGTGTGGAAACTTCTCCTTAGTAGACGCGTTTTAAAAATCGTGAGGCTGACAGCGATACGTAATAGGCCAAAGCGGAAAATATCTACTAGCAGTGGTGTGCCAGTGAGGATGCTAGGCCCCCGAGGGCTGTTATTGTGTACTTGCTAATACTAAGGCCATAGGATGAAATTGAGCTGACATCAATCTTATAGAGAAGAGCCACACCCTTACTTGAATAGGATCTGTTCTATAGGTTTTACAACTGTGTCCTCGAGTTCTGAGAAGAACACGAGTGGATTATCGTCTCGGACATGATTGATTCCTCTAGCATTGAAAATACAATAGGATATCTAAAGTCAAGAACTTGAATACTATGTTCTAAAAATAGTAACTAAAAAAAGTGTTGCAGAAGAGCTAAAGAAACTTGGATTTCATGGTGGATGACAAGATCCATGCATGTCGTTTGAATTTAAAGAAATTTTATTGTATTTTTTTATGTTTTAGAGAATTATCTTTAAGATTACAAGTTATAATTAGCGGGTGGTCATTTTGATTCTAGTATTGATGGCCATTTTTATGCTTTAGTTTGAAGATTTTGGATATTATAATGAAAGTTGCATAATATGCTTCTTAAGACATAAGCTTGTTCCTTTACATTTCTTGTGTCTAGATTTGCATGCTAGAGTCATTCAAGTAGTCTTGATCAAGCTATCTTGTAGAGTGCTTCGAATTACGAATTTTTCTTACCCTTGATTTTGATCATCAAAGGAATCCGTTCCAAAACTTTCTCTTGGGTTGGTTCCCTATTGTTTTTGGAGTTCTTGGATAATTTAAATCTAAACATCTTGTTCTTCAACAAGATAATTAGATCGAATCTAAAGAGTTTCATAACAAGAAACCCAGAGGGAACCTGCAGCAAACAATAGAAAGGTTGAGAGACTCTGCCAACAATTAATTATCTTCATGTCCTTTAAGTATTGTGAATTTCTAGTTTTACAAACTATTACCCTATGGACAATATTGATTTCTCAATCTTCTTCACTTAGGCGTTACTGTTCCGCATCACTGCCTTCAAGCAATGGAACACGAGTCACCTTAGATAAGACCCGAAATGTAAATGTACTTGTAATTAGCTATGAAAGTTGTTTTGGTATTTGTTTAGCAATTGATTGCATTATGATTGATTTTCATTACGATTGGAGCTTATTTTCATTTGCATGCCCTCCGTTACCTTTGGGAAAATATCTACCTAAGACTGTCCCTTAGCCTGTAGGTTCTGACACAATGTTAGAATTCTAGCACTTTCATAGTGGTATCTCACTGATGGCTCAGGCTCTCTCGGAAGGGGGCTTTCTTTGCCCTCCACCTAAACTGTACAGGAAAGGCCCAAAGCCGGGAAAGTAAACGTGACCCCAGTGATTAAAGATACATGATTATCCTTTTATGGATAAAAGATATCAACTGTATGGTAGGAAACATGTAAATTGAGACAAACTATAGATTACAAGAACATGCTTTGAAGGATCTTGTTTTTTATTACTTGACACAGAACTGGGAGTAAACAGGGAACTGTAAACTTGCTTTTTGCAAGCCTCAAAGGGACAAAAGGATGGGAATTAACTGTGAAAAGGATGAAACATGGAAAACTATGAATTTGGAAGAACTAATCTTCTTCCTCATGGCTTCCACAAGATGGTGGTTTCAGCAATCATGGCGGTTGCAACATATGGATCCATGTTCGATGGTAATCTTCGGTCTTCAAAATATCCCTTTCCTTTCTTCTCAGTGTCTCGTCCTACTCGAACAGATGCACAACGATTTGCAACACCCTATCATAATTTATGATCCCAAACATGTAAATATATCGACCTTCGAATGTCAAACAAAAAAAATCATGTAACATAAGATATGGAAAAAGGAATAGGTTATACCCAAGAGAAGGTGTCGATATCGTTTGTTTCATGTTGTCCATTGAGACGATGCTTGTTGCCTTCTCTATATGCAGCAATGTGTTCTTTGTGCCTAAGCTTCAACTTCTCAATTGCTTTCTTGATCACCTTAATACCACCATCGTCCCTCATTGACTTCGTACTAAGAAATGATTATCAAACACGTTGGTTCAACGCTAGATCGCAGTTTATGGTTCAACCAGTACAAAAATGGTGTTTCATTACCTGTAGTTTATGTCAGCACAAGCAGCATTCCAATCTCCCTATTGTTATTTAGAAAGAAAAACTATCAAAGACGATAAACTAGAAAGAAAGGAGGCCTAAAAAAAACTCTCCAAAAGAAAAGTTGATGAACAAGAGGCTCTTAGATTGTACCTGGATTGGTTTTGGATCAAAACTAAGGACTACCCCAGCAATCTCTGTTATCCTCTGTTAGTACAAAATCGAGACCGTAAGAACCGACGAAAATATAGGCGTTTGAGCAATCTTTTACAACTTAAGTTACCTCCAAGATGTAACGAGCAACCCACATTTCATCCCCAGCAGATATACCAACCGAGGGACCAACTTGAAATTCCCACTATATTGGAACAAAAAAAAGCATAACATAAGAACATAATCATGATCAAACCATGGCAGAACCAGGAAAAAGGAAGATGCTATACCTGTCCTGGCACCACTTCTCCGTTGATGCCACTAATGTTAACACCAGCATATAAACAAGCTTTGTAATGAGCATCAACAATGTCACGGCCGAAGGCTTTGTCGGCACCAACACCGCAATAGTATGGTCCCTATTGACAATTGAAATCATATTCTACTTGAATTTTTGATTAAACAGAAATATAGTGTGTCTCACTGAATCTATTCAAGTCAACTAATCGTTTCTTGTAGTGTTAATTACCTGTGGCCCAGGGAAACCACCAATCGGCCACCCGATCGGCCAGTTTACGTCCTTTTGCAACAAGGTGTACTCTTGCTCTATACCATACCTGTGTTTCCAAAACAAATGAGCGAATCAACATGAAGATTCACACTAGACTAGGACTAAAAGTATCTGCCATTATATAACATCAACATGTATCATTCACTTTCAAGTTTCAATAGATATCAACATTTTACATCATTTCATAACAGAGATATCAGGTGACAATCTGATACTCACCATGGTACTTCAGCAGCAACATCAGGATGGCTAAAGATCTTGGCAGCAGCAGGTCTCTTGTTCGTCGGGATCGGCTCTCCGGCTGCTGTGTAAGCATCACATAAAACCTAAGCAGTCAAAATTATCATCGTCAAGCTCAAGCCATTTCATATCAGTATACAACATATGAACACTAGACAGACAGGAATTTGTAGTCCAAATGGGAACTTAGAACTTACAAGAATATTGTTGCCTCTCCTAAAAGGGTCCCTAAAAATTGCTTGTGGGCTGTGATTCATCATTTAACAAGAAAAAAATGTCAAGATCCAATCATTTGTAGAGAAATCTATGGAGAAAGAGCTGACATAATGAACTCACTAGAGTATCACTTCACTGTCTTCGCCGGAGGCTTGGCCGGTGCTGGATCCATCATAACTCCATCTGGGAACATCTGAAGGATCACTTACAGGGCCACAAAGGGTCTTCATGTGCAACACACAATCAAAGAACATCAATAGTTGAAAGATTTCATGTTTTAAAACTAACTTCTTCATAAGGAAGAGAAATTACCCTTGCTTTGCTTCTGAGATCCATGCCTGACCCACCAATCCTGCTCAAATGGAACATAAAAAACAAAAAAAAAAAAACCAAATACTATGATTAGCCCAAAATCATAAGAGCAAAGCCCCACCCTTCGTGTAACGGTCCAAGCCCACCGCTAGTAGATATTGTCCGTTTGGGGCTTTTTCTCTCGGACTTACTCTCAAAATTTTTAAAGCACGTTTATTAGGGAGAGGTTTTCACACTCTTATAAATAGTGATTCATTCTCCTTCCAACCAACGTGAGATCTCACACTTCAACTTCAATTATTTGTAGAATTGAAAAAAACACAACCAAAACACAAAGAGCAGATGTTGAACTTTACACGATCAATGAAGAACAATTTCAGTAACTAAAGCCGGCCCATCAAGAACATAAAACGATAATCGAGATTTTAGCGAGCAGATATAACGGTTGGGACAATAAGGAGAGTGTAAGAGAAATTTCTCTTAGTCAGCTAAAACTTGACGAGGACTTGAAATATTCTTGTTCATAGTCGAGACCCTTAATATGATATAAAATTAAGACTCAAAACTAGCTCATACTATATATATATATATATATAATTTGTAAATAAATATATTGGACAAGGACGAGAAAGACTTGTTTTCATGCATGCCCTGCCCTGCTCCGCTGACATCCCTATAAACTAGAGGGTTCAAAACTTAAGAATGGAGGAGAATGAAAAGAGGAAAAAGTTGAGGGGAGCTGACCATATATACTCAGCAATGACCTTGTCGGTGGAGTCGGGGAGGTCGAAGTTGACGAGATCTGAGAGCACCGACATTGTCTTCTTCTTCGAGCTTAAGAGGGAATGAGTTGATTGATTCGTGCTCTGAAATTTTGGTGAGAAATGAAGAGTAGAGCTTGGGTTTTATAGATGTACAATGCCACACTTACTTGCATAAAAAGCTTAAACAATTATTTTTTTCCTTTTTTAAAGTTAAAAAAACATATTGGACCTTTCTTAAAGTGGTAATATTTAATTAATGGAGCTAAAATGACTCGAACCATCAAAATTTAGTTGTGTTATATTTTTCTCGATTTGGATTGAGTTGAATTTTTGAAAAATCGAAAATTTGGATGGGTTTGCAGGTTAACAATTTGCCCGACCACTCGAAAATAGGGTTCGGATTGCTCAAGTCACCCATCAATTTCGAGTGGGTTAAAAGATTTTAATTACACGAGCCCCTAATAATTAATAATTAATAAATAAGCATAATATCCATTCTAATATCGAGTTAAAATATTTGCGAGTAAACGCGTGTACATGACATATAATAAAACATTTCCTCAACTCAAATTAATAAATAATTTTGTAATAAACTAATGATAAAATTGGGATTTTAAAATGACAGCACAACAAGAATTTTTTTTTTCATGATTTTATTATTTAATTAAATGTTATATTGATATTTTAATCAGTTAAAATTTTAAAAAGAATATCTTAATAAGAATAATATATTTTAGTGTTATTTTGATTCTCAATTTTTTTTAAACTCGATGAACTTTCTAAATTTTTTTTATTTCAATTCGAAAAAAAAAAAACAATAGTGAAAAAAATAATATTCTTATTCCGATTCCGATTAAACGAAACTAGAGTTTGACACATGTTTATTCCGTAAATGTTGATAAAGTAAGATTATATAAATTTAAATTTTTTTAGGGTTGGTTTGGACTAAAAATAAGATATAAATGTAATTCGCTAACAAATATTGTCTGTTTTGGTCCGTTATGTATCGTTGTTAGCTTAACGGTTTTAAAACGCATCTGATAGAGAGAGGTTTCCAAATTTTTATAAGAAAAGTTTCGTTCCTTTCTCCGACCGACGTGAAACCTCAAAATAAATGTTTGAGAATTGCATGAAAATATTAGGTAAAATTAGTATAAATAAATAATATTTCAATTTAATTCTCGTAACTACTTCTTAGTGTATCAGTTAATTTTAGATATTATCGTTAATTGATATATTTAATTAAGTCAAAGTATTAAAATAATTTAAGTAATTAAATTTTGCTTTAATTTTGATGCGTTAATAAGTATATTATAAATAAATATGACTTAAATTTAAGTTTTTGAGTATATTTAGGAAATAAAATTGTAGATAAATAAATAAAAAGACAGAGAGAAACGAAGGTGATATGATAAAATAAATTGAAAAATAACTAAAGGAAGGAAAAAAAAAATGTAAAATAAAAACAAATTTGGTTGATATTTATTAGATGAATTTATTACTAATACAAATTTTAATTCTATAATTCAAACCAAAAGATTTTCGGATATAAGAATATTTAAGTAGAATATATTTTATTCTTAATCAAAAGAATTTCTAATAAATAATAATAAAAAATATTCTTATTCAAATTACACTTTTCCTTATTCCTTCATTATCATATCGTTGAAGATATGATAAATAATAAAATATCATCGTTGGTTCAATAATTGTATAAATTTATTATCTATATATTTTATGAAAATAATTTAGGTATTTTAGTAATTTCTGTAAATACGCCTTCACCCGAACCAAGTTTTCATCCCGAGAAATCTCAAGCAGTCTGCAATTCAAAGTGTAGTAGTATTCTATAGAGTGTTTCTTCTCGATTAGTGGTTAATAAATAGTGGAGTGTTTTCCACATCGAGTTGTATTCAATATTCTATGAACAAAAATTCGATTAATAAAATTGATAAAACGATTTTATCTTACCGAAAAGAGAAAATAAGAATAAAAGGTCAACTTTATGTACTTATCCATATAATAGTTTTTTAACGGAACTATACTTTTTAAAAGTTTACAGAAAACAATATCTAATGCTTCGTATTTATAACCAAATTACCATTATGACCTTATTAATGTTCTTCCAATATTTTTTTATATCCCTTAATGTAATAAATAAATGAAATAAATTCATAAATATATTACAATAGATCGTTATAAACGTGTACTTTAATCTAATTTTTTAAAAATATATATTGAAATTAAGTTACAAATATTAATTCAATTTTTTTAAAAAAGAAATTAATAGATTTTTTTACGTATTAATATTTTATTGAGTTACAAATCTTACCGTTCAAATAATTGAGCCAGATCTAAAAATGTCTTAACTAGGCCCATTCGAGTAGTTTAGGGTCCAATGTATAGACTTGAGTGTCAATACAAAAAGTTTAGTAGGGGTTGAATTTGATTAGTTTAATTTAATTTGGTTCAATTTCGAGGCTAATTTGGTCAATTCGGTGAGTCGGGTTATGTCATTTGAAATTTGACTAAATTTAAGTTTAAAACATTGATTCTTGTAATTAAAGCTAGCTCAGTTATTAATTTCAACATCTAAAATGGTTGAAATTATAATAATCAAAGGGAGAACAAATAGCATTACAAGGGAGAGAAAATAAACTTTTCATGATGTCTCCACCTGAATGAAAATGGCTCAAGATGTACTATAGGGGTACCATGGTATCATGGTGTTAGCTCTCCACCATCCCTGGACTCTGTGGCCTAAGTGAGCTACCCTGTGACACATACGTGCGTCACAGTGTGGGCGAGCGTGTCGAGACGAGTGTCTCGGGCGACTTCCTTTGAAATGGGTTTTTGAAGGACAGTACCAGACGGCACGGGTGTGCCGGTATTGCGCCCTAGCCCGCGTGTTGGAGGTTGCTACATACACCCGCTATCCGGGACGGTATCCGTAAATGACTCGGCATGGGCACGGGAGGGCCTATGCCTCGATAGAACCCAGATGGATGGATGTTCGGAAAGTTCCGATGAGATGAACGACACGCGGGCCCATTCTCGATGGCATGACTGAATGAGTTGTGATGGCCGACGACATCCCGAGACTCGGGATGGCGCCAAGACATATGGACCCTATTGATGGGGATCGAGATGACAAGATGAGATGCGATGTTATATTGAGAGACCTTGGCCCGAGTAGAGGCAAGGTCGAGCCGAATGAGTTGGTCTAGCGTAGAGGCAAGTCGGATGTGTCGCAGATGATTGAACATACACGCACAGGCGACGTATGTGGTTGAACAAGCTTGGATTCCGCACAAGCGATGTTCGATTGGCGAAGACAAACCTCGCCTAAGGTCCAACGAAGCCACAAAGCCGGGGCGAAAAATACATATGGGGCTTAATTCCCCTTAAGGCTAGTCGTGAGCATGTATAGATCACGACGCCGCACGGTCAAGAAGGTAGGACCGTGACAGTTGGCGCACTTTTTCTAAAGTAATTTTATGTTGGATAATATACCGGAAAACATGTCGAAAGAATTTGTGTTGATTTGTAGGATATGTCATAAAGGAATTGTGTTGGCCCTGAACTATAAAAATAGTTTTCACCCTCAAGAATCGAGTAAAAATTTAGAAGTAAAAGAAGCCAAACAAATTTTATTAGTGATAGAAACCATATGTTATTCAATACTTGACACAGAGCTGGGAGTAATGGGGAACGGGAATCTTAGCTTTTTGCAAAGCTCAAATGGAAGAGTAAAATAACAATAATAGTACACAAAAGGATAGGAATTAACTGTG